TTACCAAATTTATATGGTTAGTTAAAAAACGGGTATTGTACTATGCTCCCACCACGTGACCACGTACGGAACGCAGTCTTTTGATAATTTGTCATTTAAGGCTTTTCAGGTTATGTATCTGTCAAAGTATAGTCAATGCAAGAAATAATATTTATACTGTTACCATTTATGTTTAAGCGTTAAAAGTTTATAAATCTTTATAGTATCACAGTAACAATGGTTGGTTTAATGAAATTCTAAAGTGTATAGTGCCAAATAAGTGCATTTGGTCTACATATATCTGGTTTTATCCATTAAATAGTTTTAACTAAACGGCATTTATTAAAAAAATTTAGCTTGTCTATTATGGAATAAGAATACCTATCTGTATCAAAGGTAGGTTAATATATTATAACAAAAAATATCATCTAATTTTGAAATTTTACACTGTCAGCTAATATACCCATAGTGTCAATACAAGTACCTATAAAAGCTTCGACAAAATTTTATCTACATCGAACAATCATTAGGTATAAATAACCTTATAAATTCTAAAATTTAAATAAAACCACAGTATACTCTATCTAATATTTTTACTTGTAGTAGTCTTTCTTATCCAGCTTAAAGTATACCTACATAAAGTTTTGTCAATACAATTACGTATAAAGCTTCAACTGAATTTTAACTTAATCGAAAAATCATTATAACTTTTAAAAAATTCAAAAATCACATGTTATGGAAGTATTAAATTGTTTGTTTCCTTATAATCTAACTTAAAGTAGAGATCCCGAGAGGTATGCACAAGTTTTGTTGTTAGGAGTATAAAAGCTTTAATTTAATTTGAACCATATTCAACAATTATTTTGTATATCTATATTTATATGACCATATTAACACTCTTCCAAATAATCCAAAATACTTATTTATTTTGATCAAAATAGATTTTTCTAACCTTAAAATTTTAAAATTAGATGATATTTTTTGTAATAATATATTAACCTACCTTTGATACAGATATTCTTATTCCATAATAGAGAAGCTAGATTTTTTTAATAAATGCCGTTTAGTTATTTATGGATTATATTTTATGGATAAAACCAGATATAATATATTAAAATATTATGTAGACCAAATGCACAAAAATTTTACTTATTTGGCACTATACACTTTAGAATTTCATTAACTGCAGTATTTATACTCCTAAACTCTTAAACCAACCATTGTTACTGTGATACTATAAAGATTTATAAACTTTTAACGCTTAAACATAAACGGTAACAGTATAAATATTATTTCTTTCATTGACTATACTTTGACAGATACATAACCTGAAAAGCCTTAAATGACAAATTTTCAAAAGACTGCGTTCCGTACCTGGTCACGTGGTGGGACTTTGAAGTGTGGAGCATAGTACCTACTATAAAAGCTTGTACTATTTTTTAATAACAATATTAAGTACCTACATATAGGTGCATAATTTAAGGTAAGACGGGCTACAAGTTGTAGCCTACAACACATTGACTTACCTATACTTTTCACAGAACCGCAGATAACGATAACAAGACACTGAATAGTATTCCAGTATTCAGTGAATACTGGATAAAGCGACGCCATGTACTATGCTCCACACCTCAAAGTCCCACCACGTGAGCAAGTACGGAACGCAGTCTTTTGAAAATTTGGGATTTAAGGCTTTTCAGGTTATGTATCTGTCAAAGTATAGTCAATGAAAGAAATAATAATAGTATACTAAACAATAAACACTAACACATGTTACCGCTTATGTTAAGGCGTTAAAAGTTAATACATCTTTATAGTATCACAATAACAATGTTTGGTTTAAGAATATAGGAATATAAATACTGCATTTAATGAAATAAATATAAATAAGCGATATTTTTGTGTATTGGGTCTACATTTCTCTATAAAATAGTTTTAACTAAACCGCATATATTAAAAAAAAATCTAACTTCTCTATTATGGAATAAGAATATCTGTATCAAAGGTAGGTTAATGTATTAGAACAAAAAATATCATCTAATTTTGTATTTTAAGGTTAGAAAAATCTATTTTGACCAAAATAAATAAGTGGATTATTTGGAGGAGTGTGTTAATATGGTCATAAATAAATATAGGTATACTAAATAATTCTTGAATTTGGTTCAAATTAAATTGAAGCTTTTATAATTCGACAAAACTTATGCATACCTCTCGGCATACCTACTTTAAGTTAAATTATAAGAAAACAAACATTTTTTAAAGAAACTTGCAATGTGAAAATATTGAATACTCCCATGACATGTGATTTATTAAGAATTTTAAAGATATAATGATTTTTCGATGTAGATCAAATTCAGTCAATGCTTTATGTAGGTACACTTTAAGCTGGATTAGAAAAACTACCACATTTTTAAATAACATATTAAACAGTCTTTCAAATAATCCAAAATACTTATTTATTTTGGTCAAAATTAATTTTTCTAACCTTAAAATTACAAAATTAGATAGTATTTTTGTTATAATATATTAACCTACCTTTAATACAGATATACTCGTACTTATTTCATAATAGAGAAGCTAGATTTTTTTTTTAATAAATGCTTTTTAGTTACCAAATGCACAAAAAGATTACTTTTTTGGCACCATACACTTTAGAATTTCATTAAATGCAGTATTTAAATTCCTAAATTCTTAAACCAAACATTGTTATTGTTATGTTATAAAGATTTATACATTTTTAACGCCCAAACATAATATTATTTCATTCGTTGACTATACTTTAACAGATAAATAACTTGAAAAGCCTTAAATTCCAAATTTTCAAAGGACTGCGTTCCGTACGTGGTCACGTGGTGGGACTTTGAGGTGTGGAGCATAGTACATCGCGTGACCACATTGTATTTAACGTAAATATTAATTTACAGAAACAGTCCTGTAATAAAGAATTATTTAGTATACCTATATTTATTTATGACCATATTAACACACTCCTCCAAATAATCCACTTATTTATTTTGGTCAAAATAGATTTTTCTAACCTTAAAATACAAAATTAGATGATATTTTTTGTTCTAATACATTAACCTACCTTTGATACAGATATTCTTATTCCATAATAGAGAAGTTAGATTTTTTTTTAATATATGCGGTTTAGTTAAAACTATTTTATAGAGAAATGTAGACCCAATACACAAAAATATCGCTTATTTATATTTATTTCATTAAATGCAGTATTTATATTCCTATATTCTTAAACCAACCATTGTTACTGTGATACTATAAAGATTTATAAACTTTTAACGCTTAAACATAAACGGTAACAGTATAAATATTATTTCTTTCATTGACTATACTTTGACAGATACATAACCTGAAAAGCCTTAAATGACAAATTTTCAAAAGACTGCGTTCCGTACCTGGTCACGTGGTGGGACTTTGAAGTGTGGAGCATAGTACCTACTATAAAAGCTTGTACTATTTTTTAATAACAATATTAAGTACCTACATATAGGTGCATAATTTAAGGTAAGACGGGCTACAAGTTGTAGCCTACAACACATTGACTTACCTATACTTTTCACAGAACCGCAGATAACGATAACAAGACACTGAATAGTATTCCAGTATTCAGTGAATACTGGATAAAGCGACGCCATGTACTATGCTCCACACCTCAAAGTCCCACCACGTGAGCAAGTACGGAACGCAGTCTTTTGAAAATTTGGGATTTAAGGCTTTTCAGGTTATGTATCTGTCAAAGTATAGTCAATGAAAGAAATAATAATAGTATACTAAACAATAAACACTAACACATGTTACCGCTTATGTTAAGGCGTTAAAAGTTAATACATCTTTATAGTATCACAATAACAATGTTTGGTTTAAGAATATAGGAATATAAATACTGCATTTAATGAAATAAATATAAATAAGCGATATTTTTGTGTATTGGGTCTACATTTCTCTATAAAATAGTTTTAACTAAACCGCATATATTAAAAAAAAATCTAACTTCTCTATTATGGAATAAGAATATCTGTATCAAAGGTAGGTTAATGTATTAGAACAAAAAATATCATCTAATTTTGTATTTTAAGGTTAGAAAAATCTATTTTGACCAAAATAAATAAGTGGATTATTTGGAGGAGTGTGTTAATATGGTCATAAATAAATATAGGTATACTAAATAATTCTTGAATTTGGTTCAAATTAAATTGAAGCTTTTATAATTCGACAAAACTTATGCATACCTCTCGGCATACCTACTTTAAGTTAAATTATAAGAAAACAAACATTTTTTAAAGAAACTTGCAATGTGAAAATATTGAATACTCCCATGACATGTGATTTATTAAGAATTTTAAAGATATAATGATTTTTCGATGTAGATCAAATTCAGTCAATGCTTTATGTAGGTACACTTTAAGCTGGATTAGAAAAACTACCACATTTTTAAATAACATATTAAACAGTCTTTCAAATAATCCAAAATACTTATTTATTTTGGTCAAAATTAATTTTTCTAACCTTAAAATTACAAAATTAGATAGTATTTTTGTTATAATATATTAACCTACCTTTAATACAGATATACTCGTACTTATTTCATAATAGAGAAGCTAGATTTTTTTTTTAATAAATGCTTTTTAGTTACCAAATGCACAAAAAGATTACTTTTTTGGCACCATACACTTTAGAATTTCATTAAATGCAGTATTTAAATTCCTAAATTCTTAAACCAAACATTGTTATTGTTATGTTATAAAGATTTATACATTTTTAACGCCCAAACATAATATTATTTCATTCGTTGACTATACTTTAACAGATAAATAACTTGAAAAGCCTTAAATTCCAAATTTTCAAAGGACTGCGTTCCGTACGTGGTCACGTGGTGGGACTTTGAGGTGTGGAGCATAGTACATCGCGTGACCACATTGTATTTAACGTAAATATTAATTTACAGAAACAGTCCTGTAATAAATACAAAAGAAATTGTGTAATAACACATAAACTTTTTTCAGTGCACTGAAATGTAGGTCTTCAACCAACTGTAATCTGTTAACTAAGTATTTGTCCAAACCATAAACAAATCAAAATATGACAGAGGTTTAAATACTGACACCTGTCACCTTATGTAAAGTCTGTTGCAGTAAAAACATACCAACGTATTTTATTGTGAAAATGAATTCTTCAAGAGCTTTATGCAGAGCCATAGTTGGACGCAGATATTGTTCCCATTCAAATCGTATAACCTACAATGATTTGCCTCTGCCAGGAGGATGTTGGCAAACTGAATATGATCGCAACCAACGTAGGTACAATATGCATCTGATCCTAGGTGTTGTTTCTCTTGCTGGTACCATAGCTTTTGGAAAAATGTGTGGTTACTTGGATTTTGATTTGGAGGGCCAACCTGAAAACCCAGCTAAGGTAAACGAATACAAAGAGTGAATTAGTGATCATATGGCCATTGTTTTGTTCTTTTGGTCATGGTATTGGAGTAAATTGGTTATTAAATTTTTGAGTTTACTTTGTCTTTATTTTTTTATTTTTAATGTGTTTATTAGGGTGGAATGAATTTTTTTTTATTTATTAATTGATTTTTCCTATATTATTAATTGTTGAATAAGGGCATAAAATGAATAAATATCGAAAAAATATTCCAATTTTTTTATATCTTGAGGTGGCGCATCAGTCTCGAAGTTTTGAAAATTCTAAAAAAATATTACTTCAATCAAAGTAATAAAAATAGCATTATTTATAAATAAAAAGTTTATTTTAGTAAAATTAACGTGAAACGTAAACATATTTAGTAGTAAATCATATGTATTAAGTAACTTCAGGAGTGTTTATTGGTAGAAATGAGATCTTCTTTTTTGCGAAAATACTGACAATTGGTATCAAAATTTGGTAATTATTTTCTGACTTTAATTCTTTCGCTGAATATTCTTTATAACTATAGTTATAAGGCCTTCAAGTTTTTCTGGAGGTGTAATGCTCTTTTAGTCATATTAAATATGTGAATAGGACCATGTCTGCACGTAGGCTTGATGTTGATGTAAAACCACGTTGGGGCATACACTTTCATGATAAAAGTAGCCAATTCTTTTAGGTTTTCCGATGGATTTGCTGTCCCCATATATAAACGAATAATCCTATTAGCCCAGGTCAGCTAGCTTTCCTGGATCTTTGTTAGCTATAGCTAATATTTATCCCGAAAACCTAGGTTTTCGTAATAGCTATTACTTGCTATGTTACCTACAATATATCTATCGATCAGAGAACTAGCAATGCCGAAAATATTAAAGGCGAGAAAAGATTCAAAAATTTTCGAGATTACGGGAATTAAAGCTTCCACAACTAAATACTGAAGCATTACGTTTGTACGAGTTAATTCACTGGGCGACAGAACCACCTATGACTATGAAATACGATGACAGAAATTATCGATATGATTTCTTCGGGTGACCATTTCCTATAGGTACTTCCAAAAATTTCCGTGTCACACCCAAGCAGTGGAACGCTGTGTAAAACTGGTTATAACCAGTATACTAAATCTTCAGTCTCGGTTTGTGGATCGGAAGCAAGAGATGGTTTCATCAGAACAAGAATTAAAGTTAGAAAATAATTACCAAATTTTGATACCAAATGTCAGTATTTTCGCGAAAAAGAAGATCTCATTTCTACCAATAAACACTCCTGAAGTTACTTAAAGCATATGATTTACTATTAAATATGTTTACGTTTCACGTTAATTTTACTAAAATAAACTTTTTATTTATAAATAATGCTATTTTTATTACTTTGATTGAAGTAATATTTTTTTAGAATTTTCAAAACTTCGAGGCAGATATGTTTACGTTTCACGTTAATTTTACTAAAATAAACTTTTTATTTATAAATAATGCTATTTTTATTACTTTGATTGAAGTAATATTTTTTTAGAATTTTCAAAACTTCGAGGCAGATGCGCCACCTCAAGATATTAAAAAATTGGAATATTTTTTTGATATTTATTCATTTTACGCCTTTAGTCAACAATTAATATTATAGGAAAAATCAATTAATAAATAAAAAAAAATTCACTCCACCCTGGTGTTTATTACTAGTTGATTGCATACAATTTTTGCCCACAATTAACAGTTGTCATGGTTTGCAAATTTGTAATAAACAATAACCTACTTTATTAATTGAAAAAGGGCAATCGTAGATTATTACAAACATAAAACCAAGTATAAACATGCAAGCATTACAATTTTTTTTTTATCATTTTACTTCTTTAATTAAAGACAAATTATTACCTTCACCTATATTTGTATAAAACAATTAGATGCGTTGACTGGCTAAAAATACTTGGTTGATGTTATCGTGGATTACCAACCTAATCAATTAGATCCAAATTAATTGAATTGTTATTTTAGTCATTTAAATCAGCAGGAGGTGCGTGCGTGCATTTCTAGCTAAGCCAGTGCTTATAAAGTCTATTAATTTACTTCACATATCTAAATAGACAGATAGACGAGGAAGTATGAAATAATCACTTTTAAATACCAACTTATCATAAACTAAGATATCTGACAAGAAATGTTTGCTTCATTAGACAATAAGCTTAAATCATCTAATAGATTTTGTAATAATTAATTTGTTATTGTTAGATAATTGAATAATTTTGTTAATTACTTATCCAACAGCTGTATGTATTTTAAACAAGAATTAAATATAATATAAATTAATAATAACACTGGTCAACAAAATCAATATTTTTCCGAAAATAAAGAAATTTACAAAATTGTTTAGATTAATATATATACTTTTTCTACTCCCACCTTTAAAAGGCCCTTTATCGTACATGTTTCCATGACACTAAATGACCTTTTAAATAATCATTGACAAGTTGTGGCTTTATGGCGCTTTAGTCACGGGCTGAAGTTAGCAACAGGTTTTTAGTCACAGGCTGAAGTTAGTTTTAAGTTGGTTGACAGTTGTCAAATGTCTTACAATCGTTAAAATAAATTGTTTTTCTTGTAAAATAATACTAAATGTGAAAATTGTTTAATTATCTCAATACAAAAATACAAAAGTATTAAATAGCTTCTCAATACCAATATTTAAAAAGTTTATATGAACATTGTACTGACCTTTTAATTTCGCCGTAAACTATAACTTAAATTCGGGCATGGACTCTACTGTAAAGTCCTCATAAAACATTTCCTTTACTTTCACTGTGAAAAACTGTCAATTTTCAATACATTTCGATTTATAACCTTTATAATTGTGTTTATAAAATGTAAAAATTTGACATTTGACAGTTTCCCCTGTTGTTTCATAGATGGCGCTCTATACAAATTTTTTATTTAAATCATTTTAAGATTATAATAAGTATTTGTCGTAGAAAAAGTATAGTATGCACCTCGTTTATAAACTTTTCTATACACTTACTAACTTAAGCACTTGCTCGCAAGCTCGCTCGTGCCTAAATTAAATTCGTGTATAAAATGGCGTTTATTAAACTTGATACATAATATACTATTATCAATTCTTACATTGACGAGCTGTGACTCTATGGCGTTTTAGTCACGGGCTTTGCTTAGCAACAGTAGCTTTTGGGCATTTCAGTCAAGCGCTGCAGTGAAGGAAAATGTGAGGTTAAATCCGTTAAAAGTTGACAGATGTCGCGGTTGTTTTGAGGGCCATATTGACATTTTGTAAATTTTATTAAAATCGGACAAAAATTGTTCCCTAAACCTCACTTTGAACTAAAATTTTTACTAAAAAAGTGATATAATTCGTTAAAAATGGGGTGTTTAGGGGACTCATAGTTCCATGGCCAATGATCCTTGGTTAAATAAAGTATTTCATTAAAAATTATACAGGGTGAGTTTTTTAAAGTGTTACAAGGCAATATCTTGAAAACGGTTCAATATTTTTTTCTGAAATTTTAATGAAGCAATGGGGACATATTAGAAATATTTTTGAAATTTACCCCCCACACTATTTTGAGGGGCGTGGCGTAACTTTGGATTTTTCAAAGGAACTATGTACTTATGTACTATAAAATTCGAATCTACGTAAAAAACTACATATGTGTGCCAAAAAAAAAATGGTTTGCTCTTTTGGTAAGCTGCACGTTGTTGTTTATTTCCATGGAAACGCGTTATTTTAATCTAAGTTAGTCGACAATTTTGACATTTTGAGGATTATAGTATATTACACTACAAGGGCAGAAAGTGTGAGATTCCTGCACTGCGCGCCCGAGGCGAAGCCGAGGGCATCATGGCGCGCAGTTCAGGGCTCTCACACTTTCTGCCCGTGTAGTGTATACTATTTTTCTTGCTACCCGGCCGAAAATACGGGAAAAAATTAAATTTATTTTATAATAATTTAAGGTTATTTAAGTACTTATTTTACCAATGCATCAAACGTAAACTTTCTGCCGTGGAATCGGGGACGAAACAACGTATTTTCGGCCGAGGTAGTAAGAAAAAGTTTTTTGTGCAACTAAACATGGAAAATAATTTGAATGTGCAAGTTGATATGTTGCTGATTTTGGGGGAGTGTAGAAAAAACTGCACTAGTGAGGGCAGAGAGGTTTCCTGATAATCGTAAATCTCATATAGCAAGACTGGAAGCGAGTAGTCGTACTACTGGCAGTTTAAAACAAAAAAAACGGAGGAGATCTAAAACTGATGAAAATAGTGCAATTGAGGAGCATCCGTGCTAAACCGGCTATATCCACTTTAATAAAATGTTGGGAAAATGGCGGTTTCCTGGCCTTTACAGATAAAAGAAAAAGCATACTTGAGTTTTGTGGGCTTTGTGGTACTTGATTTATAAGACATACTTTCGTTTTGAAAAACTTTATATTAAGGCCAAAATTTCAAAAAATGTTTTGTATATAGCCGGTTTTGCTCGAAAACCGAATAAAATGTGAAAAAAACCTTTATTATTCAAAAATATTAACAAAATAAATTTAATGCAACAGAATAAATTTTAGTAGGAGTATCGACATATCCAAGCCACATATTATTATTTATTGGATATAGCCGGGTTTGCTATAAAAACGTGGATTTGGCCGGTTTTGCTCCTTAAGCTACCTTTTAAATGTGATTTTAACATGGATATACTGCAGTACATTAAGTGACCATGGGTGTTGATTTGGCCGAATTCTTACCCATGGGTAAGAATTCGGCCAAATCAACACCCATGGTCACTTAATGTCTGGTGTGCAATAATGGAGGATAGAGTTATTGGTCCGCATTTCTTTGAATCGGGCTTAAATGAAGAAATTTCCGCTGATTTTTAAAGAAGAAATTTCAAAAATATGTCCAAATATGTCCCCCGTGTCCTGATTACAAAATTTTACAAAAAAAAACATTGAACTGTTTTCAAGATATTGTCTTGTAAATCTTGAAAAAACTCACCTGTATATACCTACAAATTTGAATGTTTGCATATAAAAAAAAGCCGTTTATAGATATTTTTGGAATCATTGCACCTAAATTACCCTA